CACGTTACAATCCTTTGAAAAATCTCAGTTTCCATGTGCTCAGAAGAGACATATTAGAAGTTGGCAGTAAAATTCTTCAATTTTTGTGGAGCTTCTTTTAACTTCTCCCAACTCCTACATATGATCAGATCACATATGCCCCATCTCTACAGAGCAACTGAGTATGTTCCAGCCCAAGGCTATGGAGCCTATGTAGAACTTTTCCCAGACAAAAATAAAAATAAGTCCTATGCTAATAGTGAAGTAGGATTTATTTCAGAAAGTCTTTGTATTTAATTTTCTGGTAAAACCCTGTATCTAGGTTATACCTTGCATGATAGTTCTACTTGTCAAGTTACAAACTGATGCACTGTGCCAAAGCAAATAATCATCAACTTGGCTTGCTCTGGAAGCTCCAAAGTAAGCCTTATTCATATATCCAGCTGCCTGACTAAATGGCAATCTCTGTCTGATGCAAACTACACACTGAAAGACTGAAACAGAAGCAACAGCATTGTGTTTACCTATCTGGACATCAGCAAATATTACAGTTTATTGTCTTCCAAAATTATTTTTAGATACTGTGTAGGGTATTTGGGATCAAGACTTTGTCAAAATAGCTGCCCCGTAAATGATTTTATGTTCTTTTCTCATGGTCTGCATTGTTTTTAGTATGGGAATGCCTATTCCAAGTACCCAGCATAGTTGCTTATCTTAGTATTTCTGCATTGCATCTGTCAGTAGTATAGAATAGCTTTTAGACTAGTTGACAGCAAAGGAAATAAGGTTGGATTCTGCCACCTCTACCTGGAAAAGTATCTTACTCCTCCTGTGGTCATAGGACTGGTAAGGCAGGATGGCCTGAGATCCAGTCTATGGACTCTGGCAGATCATCTCCTGTATCCTAACCCCTTGTAAATGGAAGTCATCTCAGGCTCCGAGTCATGCCTTTTACAAACTTTGTTAGGATGAACAATTATTATTCCAGACAGTGTTATCCTATGTAAAACCACTTGCTTCCTCCTTGCATTTTACTTAATTCTTGGCCTCAGTGATATCTGTGCCATAGATTTCCATTGGGTAATGATGCATTTTTTAAAACATGATCCCTTTTATCAGCTTGGAATTTGGTGTCTTTCAATTTCATTGAATATCCCCCTTGTCATCCTACTGATCTCAGTGGTATTATTTAAGGAGGATGCTTCTCCTAATGAGTGAGCATGGGTAGGTTCTGCTCCGCTTTTAGATTGTGAGGGCCAGATTCTGTCACCCCATACTCACACTGAGTAACATCTTGCACTACCTGCTTATGAGGAACTCAAATCAGTGGAGCTCCTTCCAAAGCAAGATCCTGCCGAACAGGATAAGCACGTCAGAATCTGACCTTGAGACATTACAGACAGAAGGACCCAAGGCTCGTCATGCCATCCCCTCCCAACTCTTCCAGGGTGTTGGGTACAATGACCTTGGGCTACTAGTCAGGTAGTACAGAGGTATCACTCAAGGCAATACACTCAAAAGGGGTTTGTGGAAGAAACAGAAACTGGTAGAAATATTTAAAAGTTTCAATACCTACTTGTGCATCGGGGTAAATCCCATGCCCTACCTCTTCAAGAGAATAAATTCTAAGGAGACTCACCTGCACAAACCTCACAGACTTTATCTTCCTTTCTCTCAGTCCCCTCCAACAGGAAGGAGTAATGTGGGCCATCACGACTGATGAGGTGAGATAAAAACAGACACGTAAGGATTTGTCAAGAAGCAGAGTGCCAGTCAGAGGAACCAGTGAAACCTAGCTAGGAACAGAGATATCCAAATGGACACTCTCCCAGTACAACTTAGCACTACTTATCATTCCTTCTGTAAGACTGATATCCTGTGCAAGTAAAACTGTTTTCACTTTATTAACCATTTTGTATGAAGGCAGATAAGCTATGTCAAGCATTTATCTTAGGCCCCATCTACACATTCAGATAAAGGCAATGGGATCTAATGCATGATCCACACAATCTTGCCTCCTGCCAAGCCACACATGCATGGCAGGCGGTACGATTTTGAGATTGCACATTAGAGCCCATCATGTCTTACGCCAGTATAGGGGGAGCCCAACCCCAGGCTCCCCTGCACCATCAAGAAACAATCGCCTGTGGCTGGGACCCCCTCAGTTGAGGGGCACCCAGCTGTGGGTGAGCCTTGGGGATCACTGCTGCCTCAATCCCTAGGGTCTGGGGGTTTCACACTGGGCAAGGTGTACCCCTACAGCTGGGAGCCTGTCAGTTGACAGGGCTCTCAGCCACAGGGGAGACCCTGTTATACATGTAAATTAAAGCTCAATACCAATCAACCAGCTATAAAATTAGTACACATTTTTGAGGTCTAACTTTATAGCTGTTGGAGCTTTTTATTGTGTAATAAGTACTTTGCACGTGTAGCTGGTCTTATTGTCATTCCACAATTAGCCAGTTAATTGCACAATGTCTGTAACATAGAGAGGGGGGGCTCATATAATAAGTTGATATGTATAAATACTGATACAGATGTCAAGAAAACTGCAGTTGTATCTAGAGCACCATCCTCGTTGGATCTTGCAGTGAATTCTCTGTTGACAATCTGTAGTTAAGTAGCGTTTAGGTTCCTAAGTGAAATAAGTTCTTCTGAAAATATTAACCTGGGCTTCCCTTTTTTTGTCCACAAACCAGGAGTACTTTGTTCTCCTCTTCATCCTATTAATAGTAATGATGTACCCATTCTTTTCCATCCTTTAGGCAGAGTTCAACCCTAAGCCCAGTGGTCTAAATTAGTATAAATGATTTTTTAAGTTTAGCTTTTGTTAGTTATCATACTCTGTGCTGTTATTCATACAGTATCACATCTGCTACATTCCTTTCATCCACAAGCTATAATTTTGTTGTATCAAGATTTGCCTGGAAGTATTTGTTTTTCTAATGCAAATGCTGAATTTTGCTGATAGTTTGTCATAGTCTCCTTCCACAGATGCCTCCGTGCTGTGCCAAGTGAGTATAGGTCCGTGTGACTCAGCCTGACCTTCGCTGAAATGGCTGGGTTGTTTGGTAAAGTCTGTTCAGTTTGTGAACAAGAGATCTAGCTAAGTGCCTGAGACTATTTCAGGCAGTGACTTTGGCAGCCTCACTTCAGAGGCTGCTAGAGCTGCCTTGAGAGCCAGTGAACAAGCAAAGTAGCCATATTGCACATTGAGGAAGTCAGTGAGGAGCTGATGTGGAAAAGAATCTTCACTCACCAAGACTGTAGAGTGGCTGTGAAACAGCTCCCGAACTGCTCCTGCAATAGCATTGTTCCTTCCTTCTAAGGACCACCCTCGTAGTCAGGGATCACTGGACAGACCCCTCTAGCTGTGTCCTAGACACACACAAGCTGTCTACAAGGTGTAGACATAGAATGGTAACAAAAATGGCTTCTACCAAATATCTCTCACGGAGAACTAAGGCAGGTTTATGTACATGCTAGGCAAGTTAAAAAATGTGGGCCAGTTCTTCAGCTGTTATGAATCAACAAAGTAAATTTCACTCAATTGGGGACCATACCTATTCCTATCAACTGGCTCATTCTTGGTATATCTTATTCTTATTGGAAAATTACAGACATCAGGGTGGTCCTCACTAGGAGTTGCTAATTAAAACCTTACTGAGCAGAAAAAGTGTTCAGTTAACAATTGATGTACAAGAGCAGAAATTGACTTCATATGAACCCTTGCAGCCCATCCCTATCATCCAGGCAGTCTCAGATTAACACATAGGCAAACTAGACACATGCCTAGGGCCCTGAGACGCAGGGGCTTTTGGTCCTTCCCTCCGTGGTGGCAGCACGAATGGCCCCATCCATCTCCTTTTCCTTCCCTTCCCCTCCTCTCCCCTCCCTTGCACTGGCCTCTCCACCATGGAGGCTGCTTCCTAGCAGCGACTCCAAGCATACTCCCTGTGGGCAGGAGCCCCAGGGTGGGCCCAACTGGCCTGGGGCTCATGAGTTTGTTTGCCTAGGGCCCACTAAAGAGTTAATCCAGCCTGTATCCAGGATTGTAACTAGAAGGGAAGCTGAGTGGAGAAAAACAGTTTAAGGAAAAGAGAGCTCATGTATTCTGTCCTAACAGTCTCTTCAGCAAGAACTTTGATATTTATTCCCTCCCCTGCTGGTCTGTACAGTGTTATACTACAGGTAAAGTCACCACAGCCTACACTATCCTTCCAGCTTCCAGGCTGTGAATGTCCTAGGGATATAATTTAGCCCTTTCAGAAGATGCCTGAAGATAACTGGATAATAAAAGGTGTCTTTGCTATCAGGTTGTCTGCAGAGGCTGTATGCATCCAGTGATAGATACATAGTTAGTTTTTACCCTTTTTTATCTCCTCTACTGCAGACTATAATATTAAATGAAATCAAATGTAAAGGGTGAGAGAGGCTACGCTCAAACACATTGTGCCGAAGAAAATACTGCCTAATAAACTTCACGATGCTTTCCCTTCCAAGGCTCTCCCATAATAAAACATGAGAAAATGCGAGTTATGGAATGATATTCTTTTAGCTGATCTATATACTGTAAACTAGACTCAGCCTATCAGCCTAACCCAATGCAGACTGGTTAGAAATAATAATCAAAATAATAGCCCCAATATTTTCAAAATGACTAGTGATTTTAAGCGCCTCTGATTTTTGAGTACTGAATACCCACTCTGAAAACGAGGCTTTTCTTAAAAAGTCTCAGGTTGGGCACCCATAACTTGGTTACCAAATCACTAGTTTCCTGGAAAATCTTAGTCTGTATTCCTCTCAAAGTCCCTGCTGCATGATTTTGTACTAAAGTATTTGTTGTAAAAAAATATATACTTTTTTCCTTAAAATGAATGATTCTGAGCTACCTGAGAGAAGTCTGTAACACATCTTGGAATATATTTCTTGCCAGGTCATTGATATTTTTCTGTTCGGTAATTATTGGTCAAATATTAAATAAAAGACAGTATTTAATCAAAGAAATTTTCTGTTCTCAGACTATCGTTAGAGGAAATAAACCTCGCAAGGACACTTCAATCAATGGCCTACTAGAAGAATTTGACAATATCTCAGTGACACGTTCCAATTCCCTCCGGAAGGAAAGCCCTCCCACCCCACACCAAGGAAACTCAAACCATGTACAAAGCCACCAGGAGGAAAATGGTTATCTCACATATTCTCAATATTCCAGTGAGTCGGACGCCACGACAGACTATGTCACTGACAAACACAGAGACAAGAGCCTTTTTGGGGAAGAGTTAGACAGATACTGCAAAGGTAGCTATGCCATGAAGCAAAATGGACACATGATAAAAACAAAACCCACAGATGCCTATTATTCAGAGGTTAAGCCCTTAAAGTCAGACATCTTGAGGTTCCTTCCAGATTATAACACGCACATGGAAACAAAAAGCAAACCAATCGAATATGGTGGCCTAAAGCTGGAATATCAAAGGGTTCCAAGTGGATCCACGCTAGACTATAGAGAACCCTTTCACTATGCTCCTTCTAGAACTTCAGTGCAAAGCGAGTGCTCTAAAGAAAGACTGGAATACAGTGACAGCGATTGGGGAAGTGGACCCGGCAAGGATGATTATGAGAAAAGACCAAAGTCATCTTATGTAAACCAGGCAAGTCCTCAACCAACCATGAGACAGAGGTCCAGGTCAGGGTCTGGCCTTCAGGAACCAGTCATGCCCTATGGAGCAAGTGCTTTTAAATCCAGTCAACAAGGACATTCATATAGTTCGTACACCTACCCTCGCTTGTCAGAAACTGCAGCAGGCATCCCGAAGGTAAAGTTAACCTCTGCACCTCTAGCACAGGCCGGCGCTTTCAAAGCTGTGGCCGCTGTCTTCAGAACGTGGTTCTGTGAGGTGAAGCACCCGAATCTCTGCGTAGGCATCAAAATAGAGGTGGCCTGATACCTTTTCTCATGCTGCACCTGTGCTCTCATTGACCTCACAGCTGCAAGTGCTCAGCAAGTCAACAGTTTTGAAAACCTGGCTGCTTCTACTGATTAATATGAATATGGATTTAAAGGCAGATTTTTAAAGGCATTTATTTCAGATCAGATTTTTAGAGGAACTGATTTTAATGGGAGTTGAATATCTTTCAATATCTTTAAAACATGTGCCTTAGGAAGGCACCTAAAGATCTGGATATGTGCCTAGTAGGATGTTCAAAAATACTGAATTTCAATTGATTCCACTGGGAGTTAGGAGCCTAGAGGCTTTCATAAACTCCACCAAGTACATACTTGCATCTTTAGGCCTTTAAGGAATCTGGCCCTTGGTGCCTTCTGTTAGGCATCCAAGCAGGTATGTTTTGGCTGGTGGTCATTTTTTCCCCTGAGAGCACTGAGAAAAGTGAATTTTCAGAGGTTAACAATGAAAAATGTAACTAAATTGTAAATCCAATTTTTTAGGGGGTAGAGTCCCCGTTTTACAGTGAGGGATGAGATACTCACCTGCATGGAATTGTTTGCAACCTAATCTTCATATTTTTAATTGAAAAATGGGGAGAAGGAGCATGACACAGTGTGCTAGCCACTTACCATAGGCTTACAGACAGTGGTTTGGAGGCCACTTTTGCAGACAATCCTGTCTGTAGCTGATTCAACACCTGTCAAATCATATAGATAGTAGTGAAAAGCTCTGTAACTGAGAAGCTAAAACATCCAAGTTTGAGACCTGTACTTATAACCTTTTACCATCAGAGGGGATGGAGATTGTTCATTTTTAGTGTTTTGGAAAAGCTTGACATAAAACTAATTCTGTACACATGTTCCAAACCATTTTACACTTAAATCAGGAAAATGCGATTCAGCTGTGATACCTATAGATATACTCTCTTATATAGGTTTTGACTTGATTCTGCACATTTTTCTTTGCATGAGAAACGCTGTTTGTGTGGGCTATGCAGCTTAGTTAATAGGCTTGTTCTTATGAGTAAAACTACTTGTGTATGCAAGGGTTTGAAGGATTGGAGCCATGCATAAAATATTAGAGTTTAAGTAACTGGGGCTGACAGCTAGAAGTTCATACATTTGGACACAGTATCTCCAAATTGAGATTCTGGGCCATCTTAGTTTAGTTAAACAGCTAACCCTTTCTCAATATGTCTGTTTTTATGGCTGTAGTCATGACCCTTTTAAATTTGTGGTATTCCACTAGAGGTTTTTTTGCTCTTCAGGGATAATTGCATTGAACATCACTGAGTTCCCATAGCAACAACAACAAAAGCACTTGCTATCCTTCAGGATAAGAGGTATTTTAAACCACCAAGATTGTATTATGTCTTTGCATGGCTGACCTGGTCTTTGGTTAACCTGGCTTTAAAAAAGTGTTTTTAATTAAATAGTTAATCTTACATTTTATTATTTTATAAGGTTAGAAATAATACACTTACTGCTCATGACATACCTGGTTATGAGCACTGGGAATTTGATTGTGCTGTCCAGCTGCAGAACAGAAAGAAGCAGCCCAAGGTCTCCCTTGATGTATCACTACTATCACTCTCTTTTCCTACCCAGGCATTGGCTTCCCTGTTGATTTTACTCAACAAGGTTCAAATTAGCCACCACTGTAACTAAGACTTTTTAGTCCAGATTAAGTTGAGACAAGGGTTTGGGTTCTAGTTTCAAAGCCAAATCCTAGCTGACAGTTGAATTCCCAGCAGCGGGGTAACTTTCATTGCCCATTTTGCACGTGTGTTAATGTAAGTGATAGGGTTTTTGGTTGTAGCCATGTTGGTCTAAGGACATAGGCAGGCAAGAGTCTTTGAGTAGATATGATATCTTTTATTCATTGGTGACACGTAGGGAGTGCACATGGGTGCATGCGCACCCCTAAAGCATGGCGGTGCACTCACTGTGAAAAGGCACCGCTGATACTGCTGGCTGCACCTGCGGGCAGTCGCAGCTCACCACCCCCCTCTCATCATCGACACTGCCAACAGCATCTGTGGGCAGTCCACAATAACCACTGGACGCTGCCAATGCTCATGGCGGTGTCTGCAGGTGGTTGCTGACTGTCAGTCGGCACTCGCCACCATCACTGCCACTGTCATTACTGACTCCAAGATGAACATGGGCCGACAATGCGAGGTCGTGGTTGGCAGGGCTAACCGGACCTTGTCATGCATCCACAGGTGCATCTCAAGTAGAGCCAGGGAGGTGATCCTCCCCCTCTACGCGACGCTGGTCAGGCCACAGCTGGAGTATTGTGTCCAGTTCTGTGCGCCCCATTTCAAGAGGGATGTGGACAATATGGAGAGGGTCCAGAGGAGGGCCACCCGCATGATCCGGGGACAACAGGGCAGACCCTACAGTGAGAGACTGCGGGACCTGAACCTATTCAGCCTCCACAAGAGAAGGCTGAGGGGGGACCTGGTGACCGTCTATAAACTCACTAGGGGGGACCAGAAGGGTTTGGGGGAGACGCTGTTTCCCCTAGCGCCCGCTGGCATAACAAGGAGTAATGGGCACAAGTTGATGGAGAGGAGGTATAGATTGGACATCCGCAAAAACTACTTCACAGTTAGGGCGGCTAGGAGCTGGAACCAACTTCCAAGGGAAGTGGTGCTGGCCCCTACCCTGGGGGTCTTTAAGAAGAGGCTGGATGCCTACCTGGCTGGACTCAATTTGAGTCCCGTTTCTCTTTTTGGGGTTTTTTGTTCTTCTCCCGCCCTGGCGGGGGGGCGGGCTAGAAGATCTACTAGGTCCCTTCCGACCCTTAATCTATGAATCTATGAATCTATAATGCTCTCTGGGCTATAGTATTTCTGCCTAGCTTTGTAGAGTGCTCCAGTTGGCAGCTGTGGACACATGAATAGTAGAATATCCTTTGAGCCAGTTTGAAAGCAGAAGTTTTGGGGGTTTTTTTCAAAACTCCCTATATTCAGAAGGAGGCCTGTTCAGGAACTAACTGCCTGATTTGAGTCCATCTCTAAATATGTTCTCTGATTATTTATGTGAACCTTTATTACACCATTCAAATCTTTCAAGCACAGTATCCAAACGACTGGAGTTGTCGCCCCATGGATTAGAAACACACAATAAGTGGAGCCTGTATTTCCTTCTGTTAGGGATAAATAGAGTGAGGTACAGAGAGTTGGTTGGCCTGAAAGAAAAGATGACTCCAGAATAACAACAAAATGGGGTAGGATGGTATGCAAGCAGAGTCAGTATCACATACTCAAAAAAAAAAAGATTCCTTTTCAAAATCATTGGGTGGAGACAGACATCAGGGCCCCACACTAAGTCATGGCACTTTACATAAAATGCCCCCCCCCCAACCCAACAGATGTTCGCCTGTTGGGGGGGAATGGAGGGCAGCCTGCACTGGCCCAGGCCAACAGGCAGGGGTGCTCCAGGAGCCTCCTAGAAAGCTGCCGAACCATCCCTCGCCCCAGCCCTCCCCTCACTGGGGTATTGGCGGGAGCCCAGTTGGGCCCATAAGGCAAGACAGCCCCTTTCCACGCTCCTTCCCCCCCCCGTTCGGGTCATTCAGCATCCGGCAGTTCCATGTTGGCTGCTCCTTGCTGCTGAATGGCCAGAGCTGGGGTTGGGGGGGGCAGAGGAAGAGGGAGGAAATGGAACCCCCTAGCCTCGGGGACCTGACCCAGCTGGGACCCAGCTGGGATAGCTGCGGGGAGCCACTGCTTGCTCCCCTCCCACTGGATCTGGCCATTCAGCAACTGGAAGCTCACTCTCCTTCCCCCTGACAACCCAGATGCCCAGCCCTGCCCTGCTCCCCACGCAAAAAATTAACCCTGGAGGTTCCCTGAGGTGCTCTGCTTTTAAGCATGTTAATGTAATACCTGATTCAATCAAGGTTAATTGTTCATGTGTTCAGCCATTTTAAAAGTGCTCTGCAGCTGTGCACGTCTCGTGAACCCAGCATTCATTCCTGCCTGTGGCAGGGGGTCAGGCTAGATGATCTGTTCAGGTCCCTCCTGACCATAGCTACTATGAAACTATGTGTTATGACATGCCTGTAGAGCACTTTCAGGGGCTAGATTACTCAAAAAAGTCATTTCTCTCTGCGCTCATAGTCTAACATACACTTTCATGTGTGTAGTTAGGCAGTTTGGCCTAAGAGTATACACAGAAGTGAAGCCAAGCATGGTATTAATTACTTTACAGTAGAACCACAAGGATCTAGCTGAGATCAGAGCTTCTATTTTTTGGCCAGAATAGATACACTTAGTGAGGGCCCCTCCTCAGAGACATTGCAATCTAAACAGACAAATAGTGGGAGGGAGAGAGAAGTATGGGAAGAGGAAGCGACTTGTTTCAGGTCAAACTGGAGGTCAGAACTCAGGTTTCTTAACTGCTAGGCCATTGTCCCATCTGCTAGGTCAGTGTCTTTCATTTTGCATGTTATAATGATTATGATGTAGCAACATACCTGTCCACAGCATAGATTTCAGGGATGGATGAATTTTTGTGTGTATTGTGGGACACCACAATGAGGCCTGATTTTTGGCAAGCAGAGTTATTTCTGAACATGTGGCCCTTCTAAGGTATCTCAAGTCAGGCACTCAAAAACCATTGCAACCAAAAATACCGGTCTATGTCCAATGTAGGCAGAGCTGTAACATATTAAAAGAACAAAATTCAATGTGAGACCTAACACGATGAGGGTAATAATACAGATTCTTGCTAATATATGAAAGAAGAGAATAGATTTTGCAAAATCTGTATGTGAAACACCCCCCCACCCCCACTTTGGTATGATTTCTAAAGTTCTAGGAGACAGTCTTGGGGAGACTCTCTGTCCTTTAGATTATT